ATGCTGCCTTCAGTCTTTCAATTGAGGATTTCTAAATGGGGTAAAAAAATGAGGCAATAGTTTATTAAATACATACATAAATACACATACAACTATTACATGCTCTGGCTTTAAGAAGTTAACTTATGGAGTAAAACTAAAGGAAGAATTTCTATGTGGATAATTAAGAATATTGAAAAATATCTACCGAAGAGATGGCTGCCCCCCAAAACTGGAAAATTATGAGATCTGAATTGTTGTATCTATTATTACTCCTTGGGGACTTATAGCTCATTATTTCTTTTTTTTAAGTTCAGAAGACTAGAATGGAACTTAAATTTTACTTTTTTTTTTTGAGACAGAGTCTCACTCTCTCACTTAGTCTAGAGCACAGTGGCCTCATCATAGCTCACTGCAGCCTCCAACTCCTGGGCTCAAGTGATCCTCCTGCCTCAGCCTTCTGAGTAGCTGGGACTACAGGTGTACACCACCATGCCCCACTCATTTTTTTCTATTTTTAGTAGAGATGGGGTCTCAAACTCCTGACCTCAAGCAATCCTCTCACCTCGGCCTCCTAGAGTGCTAGGAATATAGGCATGAGCCACTGCACCCTGCCCCAAACCCTTGATTCCATTCTCTCTTGCCCTTAGCCCCAGTGACATCTGCTGATCCTCCTGCCTTTTGGTTTTTAACAGTTCTGAATAGCTTTAAAAGACAAATAAAGTACTGCGCAAACTCTACTGAAGGCTAGACAGCTCAGAGATGGAAACCTAAAACTCCATGTTCATTTCCAGGCTTGGTCAGGCCACATACACAGTAAATTATAATCGATCATAGGAATTACCTAAGGATAATGAGGCCCAACTGAAACCGAGCTGCAGACTGTCTTACCTTCACCTGTCCTTGGGAGCAGTGGTCCAGGAGAATCAGGCAGTCTGTGGCCTCCTGCAGCAAGGCACTCTTAACAGGCTCTGGTGTAAGGTTTTGGTCCCTTGCTACGTCACATATCAGTTTCAGAAGAGCCTTCAATAAGACCACAAGTCTGCAGGAAACTCTGGAATCAAGAAGGAAAAAAGTATGTTCATACTCTAAATCAGGATATTACAACTGGAAGAGGCCAAAGGCTGTCTACTGGAAAGCCCTCATCTCACAAATGAAGGAACTAAATAAAGCCAAAGTTAAATGATGTAAAAGACCACAGACCTGGAAACAGAACCAGAGGCTCCACTCTCGATTTCTTAACCTTAAGTCTCCTGTTAGCATACTTCTTGTACACATGTGCACGCACACACACACACACACACACACACACACACACACTCTCACACACTCTAGCCTCAGAACACCTTCCTTCCTTCCAGAAGTTCAATTGTACTATAAGGAAATAGCCCCCTCATGGCTGAGAAGGGGTAAGCAGGATCTTCCCTTACCAAAGGCCTGTACTTTTGGCCACAGAACAGGAGACAGCCCACAAACCTTTAACTTTTACACCATCTTAGGCCTGGAAGTTAAAAATAAAGTGAAGCTTCTGGAACTTAAATGTCAATTTGAATTTTCTGGCATTTAATTTGAGATCCTAGCTTACCATCAGTTAAGTCCAACTTAGTTCTAACTGTTAACCTTTATAAAAGTTTTTATCTCTTTGGTAAAGCTCTGGAAATG